GGCATTCCTAGTACGCTGGGCGTACGCGATCAGTGCCCAAACCCTATTTTCGTGGTTTGAGCCTTAGTTAAGCTCCTTAACTTCCCCAAACACACTCCATTCTCAACCTCCACCTCTCCAACACCCTCTCTTGAAACCCTAACCCTAGTTTGAGCCTTGTGAGCAAAATAAGGTGTTTTTAAGTGCTTTGGAGTGTTCTTGGTGCACCTTGGAGAAGAAGGAACTCATTGAAGAAGCGTTGGTTGCATTGAAGCTTGTAGGTCTAGACCTTGTTCACCTTGATCTTTCTTCTGGAGGTATAAAGTTTGGATCTTGATTATGAAATTGTTAGATCTAGCTAGTTTTGGGTGTTATGAGCTTTTGGTCACTTTAAGTGTATAAAGTTTAGATCTTGAAAGTTTTTGACCTTGTTATGGATAAAGTTAGAAACTTTATCCATCTAAACATCATATTGATTCAGATTTGAAGGTTGGAGACTTGGACTTAATGGATTAAGTTGAAAAAGATACACTTTTGGTCCCTTTGAGACTTAAGGACTAGATCTTGTTTGTTAGGACTATTCTAATAGATAAAGTTGGAAACTTTATCCATTATGGAGCTATTAGGAACCATAAAAATATGATCTTGGACCTTCTATCCCTTCCATACAAGAGTTGTGATGTCTTAATGAATTACTAAGTTAGGGTTTTAGCTTTTGGACCTTCCCTAGCCATGGAAAGTCATACAGGTGGAAACTTTATGAATTAAGACAATGTTTTGAGGCTATATCTGAGTTTGGGTGAAAAATCCTTAAGGGATTAAGTGCTTAATGGAAAGGATGGAACCAACTCGAGTACTTTGGGCGTACTAAGCCATCCCATGTATGCGGGGCGTAAGTTGAGTATGCAGGGCGTACTCAACCAGCCTTGGACTTTGACTTTTGTTGACTCCGTTGACCATTGACTTTTTGACCAAGTTTGACTTTAGGTCAAATTTGAGGGTTTTGATTGGTGATTGAGATTTTATATGGTTCTGATGTTAGTGGATCTGCAGGAGCAAGCAATGTAGCATGGAGCGTATCACAGTGTTCTCGGGTTTCTTCATTTTAGGTGAGTTTCGCCTAACTGTACCTATGGGTCGATGGCACCAATGTCGACCCACTAGTTTTGGTTATCTATTAGTAGAGGGATGCCTTAGGTACTATATATAGTAATGTAGGATAGACTGAGTACTCTAGATCTAGGCTCTTTTACATGTTCCTTGTTTGGTTGTGGTTCCAGAGTAGGATCACCTGTCTGGGTGTCTATCTCACCTCTGAGTATATACGGTTATGCATTCCTTGGATTATTGGTATTTAGTATGTTGCTATGTTGTAGTGATCGGTTAGATCTGTATCCTGGTATAAAGGATGTTCTTATGCTATTATGATCTGTTAGATCTGTATCCTGGTATATAATATGTTGCTATGCGGTAGTGATCTGTAGATCTGTATGTCTACCTGTAATTGCTGGTTATCATCTAGTGGAGTGCCCTAGGGACCGTAGGTGGTCATGTAGGATAGCCTGAGAACTCTTGATCTAGGCTTTCTTGCTTGTTCCTTGGTTGGTTGTGGCTTTAGAGTAGGCTTTCTTGCTTGTTCCTTGGTTGGTTGTGAAAATGGGACATTACACTGACCATTCAACATGACTTAGCAAACAATTATTTACTTTTCATTTTTGTGAGACATTTGATTTATTACATAACTTGTCCATTTATTTATTAAAAACGAAGCTTCATACGACATAAGTTTTTCAACATATTCCTCAACTATATATCAACTTATCCAAAAATCTAGGAATATACATTTACCTTCCTAGTCAATGGCAAATCATATGAAAAATTAGTTTCCGACCCACTTCCACTCGAGTTTCCATCAAACCAAGATGTAAGTACTTATGTATGGATCTTTGGGAAAAAAATGTTCAATATCAAACCAGAATTACTAAAGGAAAAGGCCTATATGGAAGGATAAGTAGTTAACCAATCCTTCATATCTCCTTTCATTACCGGTTCCTCTCATTACTTCTCCCCACTGCAACCTCTGAGTAAAGGTAAACAATAATAATGGAAATATTTTAAAGGGATATATACTTCTTGGTTAGATGAAAACCCTTTCTAAATTTTACTCACTTCCATTGTCAGTTCCCATGGCGTCGAAACATGCAACCCAAAAGCCATCATTTCTTAATCGTTATTTGATTGATAATTTAACTTGTATAAACAACACTAGACCATTATATACCAAATTTAACGAGTTATTAAGCAATAAATAACATTTTCAAGAGAAATATAATAGTAATGTAAAACTAATAGTTGTGAAGTTGTAATAATTATTTGTGAAATTGTTCAACATTAAGACATAATATCAAAATTAATAGGGTTACCTATTTGCTACCCAAAACAAATTGGAAAACACTATGTAAAAAGATTATAAAATGATGGGAAAAAGATGAACACATAAAGAGGGGTTAATTGTTATCTTCTGATAAATTAAGGCTTTTAATAGTCTTACAAACAATAAAACACAATGAGGGCCCATCCCAAAACACCCATGTACATCCCATAACTACAATGTTATATATGGTTTTAAGGTTTATTGGTTACCAAAAGTGAGATGTGGGAGAAAGGGTGGTTAATGATTGTGGGATGTGGGGGAGGGATGGTTTACCGAAAGTAGAATATAAGGGAGTTGGTGGTTAACGATCATGAGAGATAGGGGTAAGAGGGAGAACATGGTTCTGATAATGGTACAATGGTTGTTGAAAGCACAAATGGAAGTTATAGTAACCATAATATCGGAAGTGAAAGTTAAGGTATCGATCATGAAAGGTGAGGGATGGGTGGTCTACTAAAAGTGAAAGGTGATGGATGGGTGGTTACTGATCGTGGGAGGTGAAAGGGAGGAGTGGTTACCAATCATAAAAGGTGGGAGAGTGGGTGGTTACTAATCTAGTTATCATATATCTCTCTTTAATTCATGAAATAACTATATATAATGCTTATTTATTTTTACTTCTTAAAAATCAAGGTTGACGAATATGAACCCTAAGAAACAATGAAAGACTAACCCAAAACACCCACACGACTACAATGTTATATATGATTATGGTTTAGTTGTTACTAAAAGTGGGAGGTGGAGGTGGGGTGAGGGTGGCTACTAATTGTGGGAAGTGAGTGGAGTTGTGGTTTACCAAAAATGAGATGTGGGGGGAGTGTGTGGTTATTGATCGTTAAGTATGGATGGAAGGGAGATAATTATATGGGTTCGATAATGATACAGTGGAGGTTGAAACCACAAATGGAAGTTATAATAACTATAAAGGGAAATCTCCGATAAAATTCTAATATTTTAGGTCAATTTACGATTTAATCCTAACATTTATTTTTTGAATAAAAAAGTTATGATTATCTAATTTTATACGATAATCTATCATTTACTATTGAAAAAAAAATAAAGACTGTTTCGTTAATTTAGGTAAAATATTAAATCATCAAGACTTTTCTGTTCAAAAAATAAAAGTTAGGATTAAACCGTAACTCGCCTCAAAATATTGAGACTTTATTGAAGATTTTCCTAACTATAGCGCTGTGTTCTTGAGTTTAAATTTTAAAGAGGGGGAGGAAAGGGAGGGAAGGGGGAAGAAAGGGAAGAAGATGGAAGGAGTAAGAAGAGGGGATAGATGTGTTCTCGAGTTCAAGGGGAAGGAAAGGTAGTTTACAGTTAAATTACGTTTTTATCCCTGTTTAGGGTTCATCAACTTCAATGCTTCATCAAGGAAGAAGAAAGAGAAGATGAGGATAAAATCAATCATTTTCTTATTTCCTTCTCAATCCGCCTAAATTTGAGCGGAAAGAGAGTTTGCCTCTTTTCTTCTTCTTCCCTCCCTCTCACAATCCTCTCCTCCCATTTTCTTTCTCCCCTTAAAAAAAATCAAGAACACCTTTCTCCCTCTCAATCCTCTCATTTCCTTCAATTTCTCTCCTAAAAAAACTCAAGAACACAGTATAAATAAAAAAAGTGAGAGGTAGGGGAAAATAGTGGTTATCGATTGTGGGAGGTAAGGAGAAGATTGGTTATCGATCGTGGGATCGTGGGAGGTGAGGGGAAGGGTGGTCACCAATGTTTTAAAAACCGGTTTGAACCGGCCGGTCGAACCGGTTGGACCGGGAACAGGAGGAGGGAGCGATTCAACTATCACCGGTTTTACGTCGATTTCTGAACCGGATTGAACCGGCCGGTTTTTAAAAAAACCCAGTTGAACCGGTCAAAAAAAACCGGTTGAACCGGTTAAATCGAATAAAAATACATGAAAAGAACCATTTGCATAATAAACTTTGGTGATTTTTTCAAATCTATTTAGTTTTTTCTAAATAAAAACATATGGTAAATGTTATAAAGTTTTTTGATATGTTTGTATTCATCTAAAACTATATTTTGTTTCGGTATTATATATATATATATATATATATATATATTGACGTATATGAATTGATGTAAAACACTAAAACTTATGGTTATGTGTTATTTCAATGTATTTGGATTGATCTACAACTTATTTTTATATGTATTTTTAATGTTTGAACTTGTAAACGTCAAATTCATGATTCATATATGTATGTATGTATAAAATATAGAAAAAAAGATGAAAATTATAGAAACCGGTTAACCCTATGGTCGAACCGGTTAACCGGTTGAACCGGGAACCGGTCACCATGCCGGTTCAACTAAAAAACCGGTTTTTAAAACATTGGTGGTCACGAATCTTGTTATAATTTATTTCTTTATAATGCATCAAATCATTGTATACAATGCTTAATTATTTGTATTTATTAAATTTCACATTCAAGATTTGATGAATATTCTTTTATATATGAGCACTAATGGTAGTATACATAATTTTGGTAAACGACAAACTTGACTATCTTGCTATAGGGGGGACACTTTTGCTATACGGTATAAAAATATGAATATGAAATTAAAATGTAAATTGTCCGTTGAGAATGTTCTAATGAGAAAAATCTCTTCTTGCTAGCAGGTTCACAAAACCCTCTCCTTGCAGGAGTTTTCACCGACGACGACAATACACTGTTGCCGGCGATCAAAACTTTAGTAGAACAATAAAAAATAGTTATACACTTCAGATTATTACATTTTTCTTCGTTTATTGGAATGTTAGATTCTTCAACTGAAGTTCCTCTACAACCTTCAGTCGAGGAACTGATCAAGAAGATATCCGTAGAGAAACGCATAACGCCTCCCGATGTTTCCGCCCGGCGGTTACTCTCAACGATCACTGAAGCCTCAGCAATCGAAATTTTAAATATAATTGCTGCTTCGAGTAAGATCCGTACGTTTTCTGGTTTCATTATTCATATGGTGAAGGCGAGTTCAGCTGGGGTTTCTTCCCCTAACGGCGTTTGTAGTTCACCACATAAACGATCTCCTTCTCCTTCTTCCGCTTCCGGAAGTCCCAACAGTAATTATTCTTTCTCTTCAAAGCATTTCGAAGTGTCATGATTCTCACTTTTGTCTTTCGTCACGATCCTTGTTTTAGATCGTAGTGATCTCTCATATCATGAGTGTTGCGTTTGTTTTTCTTTGTGTTTCTGTTGTGATTTAGGGTTTATGCATCTTCAATTTCTTGTATACATTCATATGAATAATTTTGTTTGAGAGGAGTCTCTAAAGTATTTCGAATATTCGGATTAATGGACAGTATATTTGGTAATGTACACAGTTCGAATAAAGTTACTTCTTGTACGATGGAGGATATCAGTAGTACAATGAATAGATTTTGGTGCTCAAAATGCAAAGAAATTAATATCATCCCTTGAGTTCGGATGATTCTGTATCTGGTTTAATCTTTTTCATATCAAGACCTCAGTGTCAATTTCCAAAAAGCTCTAATAGCACACCTTAATTCAATCAAATAAGTTTCATTCTGATATAAAGTTGAATTGTAGTAAGGAAATCTTGTATATGTTGCAATGCTAACTTGTGTTCATCTTTATGTGCAGAATATGCACGCCATGTTTCTCCAAATTCCAAGGAGTCTGTAGACTCGCCTTTTTCCAGTTCAAAGACCAGAACCATTCCTCAATACTTCCCTAGATCTCCACATGACTGTGGTTCTTCACTTTCAAAGCAAATTACATGTTTGAAGGATGCAACTCCTAACACCACTACTTATCACCTGGCTGAATCATCAAAGGCCACTCATATTGTTTCAGCCCAAAAGCAACTTACATTCTCACCATGCTCTAGTTTAAAAGATTCAAACCCTTCAAACCCCAATGTTCTTAGATCTACTGTAAACAAACGACTTGCATTCTCACCTAATTGTACTTTGGATGGTGCTAATTCTAATAAGGGAAAACAGCAGTTTTTTGACACTCCAAATGTCATCTATCATTCTCCTTCAGTCCAAAACCAGCAAACACTGTTGCAGTGTTCTAGTTCAAAGGGTACTTTTGGAGGGCCCACTCCTGGGAATATTTTATCAACTTCAAACCATTCAGACCATACAAGTAGTCTTGCAATTAGCCTACAATCATTGGTCCTTGATGAACTTGAATTCAGGAAACTGTTCATGGTTCATAGTTATCTTGGGAGGTTAGTACACTTGTGAATTCTAATGCTTTCATTTTCACTTACTTAAAATTTAGCTAAAGTTTTGCACAGGAAAAAGCTTGAAGATGTTGTCTCTGATGAAGATGCTGTTGAAATAAAAAAAATGAAAAATTTGTCGATGATTGATTTTGAGGCTAAACTCTGGGCCAAGTATGGCCGGACATATTGTGAACCCTGTGATAGGGCAATGGTATGTAAGACATTTCATGACTTTCCATTACGATTATTAATAATGTAGGCATCGAAAAAGGTCATTTTATCAAAAAAAAAAAACTTTCAAAAAGATAACTTGCATTAGTAATGTATAGTTGCCCTTTTACTTTACAACTTTCTATAGTCAGATAACATTGTTTCATATTGCAAGATTTTGATTATCTTTCTTTTTGCAGCATCTTGATTGGGATTCTGGAAAGACGTATCTTTATCATTGTTATGTGAGTGCAGATGGAAATCACCAATTTAAGGTTTGTATTTTCTTCTTCCTTATCTTTATTTTGCAGCATCTTGATTACTATATAAAACATATCAATAGTTTTTTGTTTCTTCAATATCTTCTTGCTATGTTATGGGATGCTATTCCTTATTTCAGGGACCATATCTTAATACTAGAAGAACTCATCTCCAAAGGGTATTAGGAGATGACAATGTATTGATTGTCCAATTTACAGATGACCCTGAGACATCTGACACACCATCCAATTATTGTAACTGGATTGCAGCTTATCAGAGGATTTCTGGAGGGATTTCTATTGGCTTGCGCCATTATCGTCTTTTCGGTGAGCTATTTACGGATTTACCCTTCTTTTGTAACTTCATTCTACTATGCATTAGTTTTTACTTTTTACCCCATGCTATCTTTATCTTGTCAGCATTTAAAGATGGTAGAGGAGATAACAAGAATCCTAAAGCATACAGTAAGAAGAAACAAGTGTCTTCATGGGCTGTGAAATGCTATTTTGTTAGAAAAGAATCTATTCATGCACCATGGAAAGACAAAAATGACCCTTACATTTTGTTCAAAAAGACAAACCATGAGGCAAGATGTTTATTCATGCATGTGCATATGGTCTCAAACATGGCTAAATACATCTCTAGGTGAGTCTACAACAAACTCTATTTATTCCATTTGCTTATTCACTTATTCGCTGTTTCATTCTGTTTTGGTTGCAGATGTTCACTTGCTCTATCAAATACAATAAAGCTTCGTGTTGATCTTTCTTCTGTGCATGTTGAAAGAATTCCAGATATCCCTTGTCGTGTGTGTATATCTATAATTCTTTATCCTTTTTTTTATATCTTAATTTGTTCTATAAACTGTGTTTATAAATTGTAATGAGTTTTTCTGGATTACAGGATGAAAATGGGAATGTTGTTTGTGATAAAGATGGTGAAACACTCATACATACAGATGGGACAGGGTTTATTTCAGAAGATTTGGCAATGTTGTGTGCAAAAGATTTCATTGAAGCAAAGGGCAAACATGATGGAAGTTTTGAGGTGAATATTTTCACATTTACATTACTTCCATTACTCATATATAAAGAAAGAGTCACACTCACACTTCATGCTTTCAGAGTTTAAGTCTTTCACCACTGATATTTTTGTCCGATTGTTATCCTTTTGGGTCTTTAACTTGGTTTTTTGATCTAGGGCAAATCACACAAAAAACATTATATTGTGGGCAGTTTTGATTACAGAATTACTGGTGATACCTGATGTAAAGGTTGAAATGGTTATTTTGGAAAATGTCTGAATCTTTTATGGTTTGATTGGATTAAACCACAAAACTGCACAAAATACAAACTTTTATCTAATTATTGTTTTTCCAATTTATTACAAGTTTGTTGATCTTCTCAAGCTTGAGGAAGAAGCATTGGGATCGAAAGGCACAGAAACTTGCATTAGAGAATCGGTAAACAAAATTATTTCTTAATTTGTAGAATCTTCTAGAATCTTCCATAATATTATTACCTTTTGTACTACTAGCCTTTACTTGTCCAATGCCGATTGTTTAAAGAAGGTTATGCTGTCAAAGGAACACTTCTTGTAAACAAAAAGGTAGTGAAATAACATCACTTACCTTTTACCTTTTGTATGTAGTGAAATAATTTAAATTTAATTCCTTTTCTTGACTATTTCTTTAAAGCTTAAACCCCAAACAATTCAAGTCAGACCTTCAATGATAAAGGTGGAGAAAGATTCTAGGCTTTCAGATTCAGATTCATTCAGTTCTTTAGAGATAGTTTCCATAAGGTAAATTTTCATTTGCTTTTATCACATTACACAATATGATCTTTATATTTTATTTATTTATTTATTTAATTTCAGTCGAAGACCAAGGAAAGCTAATCTCTCAAAGAACTTGATTGCACTTCTAAGTGTAGGAGGTGTTCCTAAAGAATACTTTTTAGGTTTACTTGAAACTACATTACAAGAAGCTCAAAAAGTATCCTCAAGTATGCGTGCAGCAGTTAGAGGTAACTTTTTTTTTTCAATATAGAATTTGCAATTATTCTTATTTCTTAATATATTGATTGACATAGTAATCTTGTTTTTATAGTTGGACTTAACTATGGACAAATGGATGATTCTGCAACATCTGTAGCAATGATTGGATCTGGAATTCCACTTGATGAACCCTATCTTCAATATCGTTTGTCAATTTTAGCAAATGAAGAAAGAAAAGGTCTTTGTGGTGGAAAGCTTCCAGTCAATGAAAGTTTTTATCTTATAGGAACAGCTGACCCTACAGGAATCTTGAATAGTGATGAAGTCTGCATTATTCTGTATGTATTAATTTTCTACTTTAATAAGTTATTCTCATGTTATTAGATTTAGTAATTATGATTTTTTTTTTGATAGTGAAAATGGTCAGATATCAGGAAAAGTGTTGGTGTATAGAAATCCAGGGCTCCATTTTGGGGATATACACATTTTAAATGCAAGATATGTAGTGGAATTGGAAGAATTTGTTGGAAATGCTAAATATGGTATTTTCTTTTCCACCAAGGGTAAGAGATCAGTGGGAAGTGAAATTGCTAATGGTGACTTTGATGGAGATCTTTATTGGGTCTCTAAAAGCCCACAGGTAATTATTATTATTATTATAAATTAAAACAAATTGGCTTAGGAATAGTATAGTTTTATGGTTTTAGACTTTGGCCACAAAAGTTTCTTATTTTAGACTCTGGCCACAAAAAGTTTTAGGGTTTTAGACTTTGGCCACATAACTTTCTTTTGTTGGCAGATTTGGTCCCTAGACTTTCATACGTTTGCACTTTCCACCCCCTGACCTCCTTACTTTATAAAATGTCACTTTTACACCCTCAAATTTGAACACTGACATTTTCAACCCCTTTATTATATTTATAATTATAACCCATCTCTGAATGGCTTGTAATTCGGGGACTAAAATGTTAAGAGAAAGTGAAATAGGGACGAAAAATGCAAAAAGGTTGTTTTTTTGGACTTTTAGAGAAATTGATATACCACAGGGACCAAAAGTGTATTTTACTAAAAAAAACGAAGGGTGTCGAAGAGGGAATGGAATTGAGCATTAAAAATCTCAGAACTTCAATTAAATTATATATAGTTTTTGAAGTTTTCCAAAACTAACTAAAAATAAATTTTATTATAATTCTATTTTAAGGTTTCAAAGTAATTATTATTTCTTTTTGCGAAGAATTTTGTTTAAATACATATAGTATATCTATTAAACGACATGAAATATGTTTATATGCAATTTATTTATTGATATATCTTTATTTGGTTAATTTTTTTTTTCTATGAAATAATATATTTTGTTTTATTTAGTTTTCTAATTATGCATAATAAACTAAATGTTTGATTGACTTGACTTGACTCATTCCATTCCTTCAACCCAAACATGACAACGGAGTGTCATATTCCATTCCTTCCATTAACCTTGCCCTTTCAATTACATTGTTGATTCCATTCCATTCCATTCCATCATACCAAACAAACTGTACACTCTCAGCTGTTGCATTACTTCCAAGTAAGCAAACCATGGGAAAGGCTTCACTCTACACCAAGTGGGCCCAGCAAAAAACCCAGTGACCTCTCATATGAGGAATTGGAGACTGAGCTTTTTACTCAACTTTTTGCTACACAAAAACAGAGGTACATTTTCCAACATTTTTCTACTTCTCATAATATTAACAAATAACAACACCCCATTTTATCACTTAATAAAAATAATGTTTGACTTTTTTTTTTTCTTTTTCAGTATTGTAGCTGGTAAAGCAGCTGATGCATGGCTTACATGGATGGATCAATATCTGAGTTTGGGAGAAAATGATGTTCATAATAAGCATGTGATTAATGAAAAACTACTCAAGTTAGTTGACTTGTATTATGATGCTCTAGATGCACCAAAAAGTGGGAAAACAGTTGAAATTCCTAAATATTTATTGCCACAAAAATATCCCCATTTTCTTGAAAAGAAAATCGACAAGACGTATAATTCCTCTTCTGTTTTAGGAATAATTTATGATACTGCAAAGGGATATCTACCTGATAATGCATCAATACAAGGTGATTTTATTTTATGTTGTCTAAATTATACCCTTTTTTTAAGGAATTTCACTAAAGCATATTTTCATTCTTATAGACATCTGGAAACTTCCGTGCTTCAATGTGGAGATTGCAGAGGCTTGTTTAGATTTGTGGAAGAAATGGTACAGCTCATACAGGCATGAAATGTCTGATGCTATGAATTCAGGAGATGAATCAAAACACAACTCTGCAAATATTGTGATTAAAAAATATAAACAGTTGTTGTATGGGACTGAGGATTTTGCAACAAGTAGTAGGAAGATTGATGATATTTACAATGAAGCCCTTGCAATTTATCATGTAAGTTATGATTATGCTCGGAGTTATGGAGATGTAAAGAAGTGTGGGTTTGCATGGAAGGTAGCTGGTGAAGCCCTCTGTTCATTTCATGAAATGAAGACTCCTGGAAAGTCTATTCCTTTCAAAGTAGCTGTTTTATCCATGTTTATTTAACATTTAGAAGTGGATTTACGTATGTAACATGTATAGCTATGTAGGTGTGTATGTATGTGTTTGTTGTATGAAGGGATTAATTAATGGCAACGATTGAGTCCCTGTGTTGGTTGGTAGTGAATAATATATAAAATCAAATGTATTTTTTATTGATGATGTTGATGGGTCTATAGCTTTCTTTGCTCTTTTTGTCCATGGAGTATGTGAAGCTGTAAGGGGAGACTTAGGAGCATACCAGAGGACCAACGGGTGATTGTAAGGGGAGACTTCAATTGTCATATAGGAAGAGAGATCGATGGATATGGGGTGTGGTGTACATACTAGGATTCATGTGTGACACTCGTTCCTTGAGTTTGCAATTACACACAATTTGACTAACAAATTCCTTTAGAAAGAGGGATGAATGGATTACCTTCCAAAGTGGTGGCCATAACACTCAAATTGACTACAACTTGGTGCACAAAGGAGACCTAAGGGATTGCATGGATGCACGGTGTAACTGGGAATGGCATGCACATGACAACATGAAAACCCTTGGGGATATGATTATATATGTTGTGATGCTCCACTATGTTAATAAGTTAGAAACAAATAGTAAATGATAAACGATTATGTTTTGTTTAACAAATTTTAGCTTTAATTTAAGGTCATCCATAAAGTTTGACAGCGAAACTGGTTGGCTGTGGTACTATGAGCTGATAACAAGCAACGTGAAATCGAAGTTAGACATGTCGATAATTTTTATGTCTCGCCATAAAATTTTATGTGCAGTTTGTGATGCTATCTTGACCATGTCTGAGAGAGAGAGAGAGAGAGAGAGAGAGAGAGAGAGAGAGAGAGAGAGA